ATACGGTTTCAAATTCTTAATTAGGTTATAGATCTTTAGTTTCCAATACTATATGTAAAGGCTATATCGTATTATTACTTGTTTTATTGGCTTAACATTTTAGAAGGAAAAATTAAAAAGTTGTGATATCTGAACTAAGGAATGAGTAATATGAAGGTATTGTTCTATTCAAAAAACTGTTATTCCTTATTGTTTTATTGGGAATGTAATAATATTCTTTATATCAATGCCTTTTGCTCACTGTAATATTATTTGCCTATTTATTATTTATTACATTAATAAGATTTTAATCATCAAGTTTGGATCTTTTTTTATTATATATAATGGATGCTCCAGTAATGATATCTACATTACTAAGCCTGTTTTATTGTTCTGATTTTTAAAATGTTTTGGATAACGATGATAAAATTTAGTTGGCATTTTATTAGATAGGTTTTCTAATCTTAGGTTTAATGGGCCCTTTAATTAGAAGTTGTGTCTAATTATACCAAAAGATCAAGAAATATATCTTGCAAATTAAAAAATCAAAACCACCAATTATAATGTAAGTTCAAAAAATCTTCACAGTAATGGCAAATAAATGAACATTTAATTATTCATAATAAGATACATATTCAAAATTATAATTTTCCGTAATTTCTAATAGTTTCAAGCCCATTATTATATTCTTTAATTCTAATCATAAATATAAGTATGAAAATATCAATTTAATTTTCTATAAGAATTAAATTAGTCTTTATATTATATGGTATTAGTTTAATTTAATTGCTATAAAGATAATTTTTTAATTTTACCCTATTAAAATAATAAAATATGCAGTAATTATAATAAGATATTTTAGTTTTTCATTTTAATTTATAATTAGTTCTATAAGCTAACTTCTTCGGATTAAATTGATTTAATTATTATTTTTCCTTGTTTAAAAGATTTATTATAATCTCTAAATAATCCTTAATTATTTAATTAATTTTTTGATCTCTTTTTCTTAAATCTGTCCTAATTTTAATTATATTTTCGTAGTAAATAAAATCTAATAGCCCAACATAAATCTCATCAGTACATAATACATGGTATTTTTTGACTTTAAAATTCGAACTACATTTATTTACATAATGAGACCCCCAACTTCTTTAGAAAAACATCAATTATT